GAAAAATTTTTTTTTTTTTTTTTTTTTTTTCTTCACCAAATCTTCATCCACCCACAAGAAAAGCAACCCTTCCCTGTCTCTCTTCTTAATCAAGCTCTTGGATTCTCCGGTAAAGCCAAAATTATCGAATGGAAACAAACACTGCCTGCTTTTATGTTTTCGATGGACCGTATGGCTAATTTGCTTAACCCAACCCCACGACCCACACCCCCGGCCTCTCTAAGGAGCAAACTCCGGGACGCCAATCAATGCGACCGTTGGGGATGATATGGAAACAGGGGGATATTTTGCTTAATTATGGCCAGTAGTCCTCAATAATTAATGTGATCCATCAGTATGGAATTTTCTTCATTCTAATTTAATACAAGAAATGAATTCAGCTTAGGTGACATGGGAATCTAGCATAGAGCTAAGCATTCAATTTATATTGAGAAAAATTTATTACTATTTAACCACATGTTATTCAAAAATTCTCTTTTTAAAATAATATTTTTTCAAAAAATGACCATCAAACAGTGCTATATATGTAATTTCACTTTACATTTCGTGTTTTATAAATTTCTATTAGATAATTATATTCACACCACAATTTTTATTTCTTACACCATATTTTAATTATACTTAAGGTTCTTAATCTTTACTCATTATAACACTTATATTCCCAATGATTTTTCATGTCATTATTATCCTAAAACTTTCCATTATTTAAATATTTTGTTATATGATAATAATTTTATGTCTAAAAGTGTGTTGAAATGACATAAAATAATTTATTTTTCATCATATTATTAAAAAAAAAAAAAGTGTGGAAAAATATTTTTCGCTGTTTTGAAATATGAAAATAAAATAAGGATGAGACATATTAATTAATGGAAGGTTAAAGATAAAAATTTGACCAAAAAGACCAAAATTTGAAGAGTTTAACTGCACTTAAAATATGATGTATCAAAATAAAAATTATTATGGCAACATATCAAATTATGGCACTGAAAATATTTATAAATATAACACTTTAAGTAGTTGGAAAAAAACACCCTAAATTGATAGAATAATCCACAACATAGCCTATGTTTGGTAGCATTTTTTCAAAAACTCATTTTTAATCGCGGATTCTCTTATAAAATGATATTATACATAATTGAAAATTTTTCTTTATTTTTAATCACATATACTCTAAAAAATCAAAATTCCAAAAATCATTTTCCCCCAGCTCCTCATTAAAATGGAGCTCAAACAAGGGCATAATATAACTTTATTTAGAAGTCGAGATCTGCTGTCTAATTTTTGTTATTCATCATTTAAATTATTGGCACATTATTTTACATTAAATGTCACCTATTTTTAAGGACAAAGAATAGTTAGGGAAAAATTGGACATGTTAATTTAAAATAATATGTTAATAATTAATTGGGTAGATAGCAAGTTGAACTCAAAAATTAAACAGCACATCTCAACTTTTTATCTAGTGTTTTGCATACTTTTTTTTTCTAAATATTGATTTTTCATTAGATGTAAAATTTGAAAATTGAAAACAAATTATGTAAATGATCCAATGAAAATACTCGATTAAATGTTAATATATGGATCTAAAACAAATTAATTAAATGAAAATAAAATAGTGATCGAACTTTTAGAGAACAAAAAAAGTTTCAAAAAATAGTATGTAATTTATATAATTTAACACAAAGAATGTGCTTTGTTATTTTCAATTATGCATATTTTGGTGCACTTAACTATTTTTTATGCAAAATTTTAAATTGTTTAGCAATTTTTTTTTTCTGTACAATAAAATGCAGACTGCAGTACAATATTAAAGCCTATACAGAGGGTGTATTTTATAGGTTTCCCTTGATTTTGTCATGAAGCATTAAGCATATGTTAGTCAGGGCGCATTTGAAATTTTTTCATTGACTAGGTGATGAAAACTATCAAGTTGGAATACGAGACGGATATAGGAAATTTTGATAGATTAATGAAATAGCGGAGATCTAAACCATCAATAATTTTGTAGTTCAAGGTTACAAATTATAAAATAATTATAACTTTTATTGAAGTTAAATATGTTCAAAGGTATTAATTAATTTTATCATTTTTTTTTTAAACTGATGAGTCTCTAACTTTTATGTTCGAATTATATTTTTCTTACTTTTTGAATTGATATCAACCTAAAAATATAAACCGGAATGAGACTAGCGATAAAGAAAAGAGGTCGATTGAAAAAATGAAATTCAGAGCATCTAAAAGGACTTCTAAATTATTATTTTTTAGCACTTCTCATTGTATCAACCTACCATTTATAGTGGGATTAATTACAGCAAGTCTCTGAAGTTTATTAAATAATTTAAAATGATCATTGAAGTATTTTCCTTAAAAAATTTAAGTTGTAAATAAATATAAAAGTGACTGGAAATAAATAAGTAGTATTTATAGATCTTACGCAATGTGTGAAGAAAAAGTAATTCGACCGTTTATAAATATTAGCCAAACATGTATCAGTCCAGCTACAAACCAAAATTTATTAATAATGATTTTTTAGCTAGATGTTTGAAATTGTAACATGAATTGTGCTCCTTTACCACCAGGTCAAATTTGCCAAGCCTTTTACAGTGCCTCTCACAAAACAAGGGCATGGGCATTTCTGAGGTATTATTTTATTGAGGTGGGTCTCACATCATGTGAGGACCTATATAGAGCCTGTGAGGCTCAAGCTTGGCAGACCAGCATCTTTCTCGTGACATTAGACTTTATAAATATAATTAACAACTTAATTAAATGATAAACTTGCTTCTTGACAATGAAAAAATATATACAATAAATCATTTACAAAATAATTACTTCGTACAAAATAATTATATTTTACCATATTACATGTAGGAAATTTAAAAAAAATAAAATAAAAATTGAATGTGATGAAATTCAAAATTTAGTCTGTTAGCACACAAAAAGACGTGTGTGTAAATGCATTGGCTATGATGTGCATTGTAAAAGATAATTACTTCGTACAAAATAAAATATTATGGAAAAAATATGCCAAATGCAATCGGATGAAGTTGAGTTTGGTTTGGATGCAAAGAAAAAAACAAAAGATTTTAGATGCATTTTTGAAAAAGAGGTGAATTGATAAAAAAAATTAATAATAAAAAATAATAATAATAATAAATAGTTGTTTTCAAATAGAAAGTTTCTTAATTTGTATTAGTATGAGCTTTTATAAATACAATCAACAACTTAATTACACGATAATTTTGCTTCTTGACGACGAAAAAAGATATACAATAAATCATTTACAAAGTAATAATATTGGGACCGAGAAAAAAAAATTATTTTAGAGGGGTTGTTAATTGTATTATATTTTACCATATTAAATGTAGAAATTAAAAAAATAGTTACTTCGTACAAAATAAAAAATTGTGGAAAAAATATGCCAAATGTATTATGTAGATTGCAAATACTTAAGATGAAGTTGAGTTTGGTTTGGATGCAAAAAAACGAAGCAAAAACTTTAGATGCATATTTTGAAAAACAGGCGAATTGATAAAAAAAATAAAAAAAATTGTTGTCAAATAGAAAGTTTGTAAATTTGTATTAGTATGAACTTTTATAAATTTAAATTGTTATTATTTTATTTATACGTTGTGCCTTAAAGGATCTCAAAAAAATTATTATTTTATGCATGCAGTGGTGTTATTAATTTAGTACATTGGACCAAAATCGGTCAAATAATTTTATTATTTAAACAAGGTTATTAATTTTTTGAACATTCATTTACGACGGTTTTGAACATTCATCCCTTTGGGCTAGCTTGGGAGTTTTAGCAAACTGATTATGAGCGAATCAGTTTTGAGCGGTTTTAGTGACAGTTTTAAAACCTGTCCAACCTCTATTTGGGAGTTTATTAACCATTGATTCTGAATTTTTTTAATAGAATTAAATTACATATATATCCTTTTAAAAATTTTCATTTTATAGTTTCTTGTATGAAATATTTTATTTATAAGTGATATTTTACTTATAGATAACTTTTTTTTTTGACATATAAGTTAATATTTATAAATAAAGTTAAGTATTTACTTAAAAATTTAAGATAATATTTTTACTTGTAAGTAAATTTTACAATTATCAGATAATTTTATATCGTCTTATTAGTAGTTTCTTTATTTTATAAATAATTTTTTACATAAAAGTGATTTTTTTAATTATATTTTAATTTTTATTAAATATTTTAATTATAAGTATTTTTTTTAATTATGATGTAATCTTTTGCTTATAATTATTTTTTAGTTAATATGTTTTTATTTTCAAATTAGTTTTAAAAAATATATATGTTGGTTAGGAATAATTATTTTATAGAGAGTAAAATTAAAAGAAAATATAAGAAACGGTCAAAACCCATTGATTCGTGGGTTGAGAGAACACGTCAAAATTACATTACACTAATTTTTGGTATTTTTAAATCATCCAAAATCGGTGCCAAAAAAATTAGCAAGCACGATTTTTCCAACTTCTCATAAAAAGTGCCACATGAAAAAATTAGCAGGCTTGAAGTAGTTAAACTAATCATTTTTCTCGGTGCAGTCTTGAGCATGTTTGGTGATGGTTTTGAAAAATCAATTTTTTGATCGTTAGCTTGAAAGTTGGGTCCTACCTATGAGTGAAGAGGTTAAAAAAGACGACCGACTATGTTAAATAATGATCAATGTGAACATGGGTAAATAAAATGGGTAAAAAATGTAATAAATCATTCTATTACAACATTTATAAATAATTTTTTTAATATGTATATTTTGTCTCACTTGAATTATCGACGCAAGAATACTTGTAGCCTCCAGTGTAAACGGACTTAATTC